AGGGAAACCTCTACGTCGTTAACTTGATAATCGGTGCTGACAATTTAGAGGAAGCGATGAGCAAAGTATCACGTAGCCAAGGATGTTTTCAATGGCCTCAATATGAACCTCAGAGAGTTCTGTTCTAATGATAGCGTCTTCAATTGCTCGATCCCATGTGAAGATCGCTCGAAAACGGAATACCCGAAAGTACCGGGAGTAAGATGGAACCACCGCACGATACAATTATCCTCAAAGGAGCAATAAACCCGTCGGGAATTGTGACCAAGAGGACAGTATCGCGACAACTTGCATCAGTGTATGACCCCCTTGGATTCCTCGTGCCCATACTACTTCCGGCAAAAGTGTTTCTTCAATCGCTTCTGGAAGGACGAGTATGGATGGGATACGCCTTTACCTCCAGCGCTAAGGAGAACAATGGCTCATTATTTCCTATGGAATTACCACATTCTATAAGGAGCTGCAGAGACAAGCGATACAATGTCACGAGAGATCGACTATGTTTGTCTTCGCGGACGCCAGCCACATCGCTATGGCAGCATGCGTTTACATTGGCTCGTCTTCTTCCACGAAATTAATAATGGCAAAGTCGAAACTACCATTTCTGAAGACAGCTACAACAATTCCAAAGCTGGAAATGAACGCTCTCACACTTGCAGCACGATTGGCACATTTCGTTCATACGTCCTTACACCACTTGGTAGACATACGCCAAATCCTTTTCTTCACCGACTCCGAGATCGTTCTAGGATGGCTCAAGACACCACCCAATCGAAAGAATATAGGAGTGCTGGTTACCAACCGGTTTAAGGAAATCAAGAAAATCGTCACAGACTTGGAAGCAAGAGGAGTCAAGTGCCTATTCGGACACGAGCCAACCAAAGACAACCCAGCAGACTGTGGAACGCGCGGATTTACATCTTCAGCATGTGAGTCGAAGCTCCCATGGTAGTTGCAGCTCTTTTGAAGGAAAAGGAAAAACAGCTGGATAAACTTACCACCTTCGATCTCTCACGATTCAGCACGTTCCACAAAGCGCAGCGGGTGGTTGCGTATGCGCTTCGATTCATAAGAAGGATCGCTCAACCGACTAACGACAGATCGAATAGATGCCATTATCAGCAATATTCCAGCACTTAAGGTGGCAGTCTCGACACACGAACTCAAAGGATCAGAGTTGTTCGAAGCGAGGAAATGTATCATTCGTGATCATCAACAGGCTGTACTATACGCAACAAATCTCGTTGCAAAGAGAGCTAAATATCAGGCCTGATGAAGATGGATTACTACGCTGCTACGGTCGTCTTAAACATGCAGCAATTCCGCCATCAGCACAAACGCCGATATTCATAGCCCCAAAAACAGCCCTCGCACGAATAATCATATGGGAAGCGCACACTCAATACCATTCTAGGAGTAGCGCACACGATGTCCGTAGTCCGAGAAAAGTACTGGATTCCGAAATTGAGACAACAAACATCACAGCTTCTACGGAGGTGCTTCCAATGCCAAAAGCATAACAATTTGCCATTCCGTTACCCAGATATGGAAGATCTTCCGGAGCGACGTGTCCAAAGAACACGCCCATTCGAACATATCGGATTGGACTACTTTGGCCCGCTCACTATTCAAAGCCCAGGGAACGAATCTAAGCATACGGATGCATCTTCACCTGCGCTACCACGAGGCTTATTCATGTGGATCTGGTAGAAGATATGACTACGGAAGAAGTTTCTGAACGCATTACGTCGATTTTTCGCAAGACGCGGAATACCAAAGACCATTACTTGCGACAACGCCCCAACGTTCCTCTTGGGAGAGCGAATTCTCCACGAAGCCGTGAAAGAAGACGATGGAGCACTCGGACACAATCACGCAGTTGCACGCAAAGAAATTCACTGGATACACATCACGCCTTACGCACCGTGGCAGGGTGGATTTTATGAGAGGCTGATCTGATCCGTCAAGCTCTCGTTATACAAGGCGCTAGGAAAACGTAAGGTCTCGTTCGATGTTCTACGCACCATGCTCACGGAAATTGAAGCAGTGTTGAATTCGAGACCCCTCACACATCAGGAGAAACGGTGGGAAGAACAGCCGTGTCTAAGGCCAATTGATTTTATTCAAAGAGATATTATTCTGAACTTCCCCTTCAACTATGTTGGAGCTCCACGAGACGATCTCACCTACCATACCCCGGAAGAAGCGCAGTGACTACTCACACAAACTCAGACTAAAAGCGCCCTGAAGTCGTCGGTTGAACTAACAGAACAATTTTGGCGAATCTGGAGAACCCAGTACCTCACAAGTTCTACGTGAACACCACCGACTTCATATGGATTCGAAGAGAGGGTTTTAACTGACTCCAATCGAGGGTATGATAGTATTATTTTGCGAACCGGAACAACCACGTAATACCTGGATCATGGGACGCATCGTACAGCTAGGGCGAAATGATTTGAACACCATACGGGAAGTAGCGGTAGTGCTGCCAAACAAACATAGAGTCCGTCGACCGGTGAACCAAGTAATCCCGTTGGAAATCGGAACAATGTTAAACGATGGAAGTACAACATCTAACGAGCCCACTTCTCCGAAACCACCACTTCTGGACACAGCAATGTCCCCACAGGTGAAGCCAGATGAATATCCATACAACTTGAGGAAGCGTAAAAGATTCCCATGAAAGAAGAACGTGATAACGAAGACGACGAAAACGAGCTGCAGCCCCAACACAAGCTAAACCTTGTGCGCAAAACTCCGTGGACTCTTCTAACCTTGATCACACTGCTGCAATCGCGACGGCGAACAACATTTCCATGCAGACTCACCAACTGACCTGTATTGATGGTGGCGTACAACTCACGCAGAGCGATGCATATCCGTACGACGTGTGCATGGAAAACTATTGCCTCTCCTTCTCGTCGCCAAACGCCGTAGAGAATGTTAAGTTCCCATCACAGATAACCCTCCACGACTACTCCGTTAAATGGAGGATCAAAAAGGGGCACCGAACAGACTTCATGGAGACCATGTGTAAAGCTACACCATTTTGCCCTAATATAGATTGCACATTCTGTGTGGCCAACATCGCCAATCCTGAATGCTGGCCAAGGGCAGCGTTAACTGGAGTGGGACTTATAATATATCTCGTCTTGATGTTCTGCTATGTCATCTTCGCAGTGCCATTCGTAATAGGAAGACCACCGCTGAATGCGGCACGACTGATAGCACAGCTGGCGAAAATCGTAGCGCTAACCATCTTCAAATTTTGCGTAGTAATTTTCGGACTTTTCTACAGTCCGACGAGACGACGACGCCGCCGTATATGGCAAGAGATAGCGATCAGCCTTACGATTGCGGCAGTAGTGGCAAGGGGATGTCAAGAAGTTAACATCCTCCACCAACATACGGAATTGTGTCGAATATCGTCAACCAACAGCATATGTACAATCGATACAACGGAAAGTTGTAAAAATCAACCCGTTTAAACGAGAAGCATGCCTAAGACTGACGGCGAATGACTCAACAGCAACGGAAATTCGCCTTCTGTGGAAAGAACTCCAGCTCATCTGCGAAAAGGAAGTGCTCCTCTACACCCGCAGTACGAGGTACGCCTTGTTGGATATATTCATATATATTCCTACGTCACCTCAATGAATCAACGCGGGAATACAAGAGGTGGAGCTATCACTTACGAAGAAGACATCGAAAAGGAAGTACGAGGAAGTCGATGAGGAGCTTCTTGAAAGCCGTCGAAATTACGAGCAGAAACTTCGCCGATGCGAGGAAGAGTTGAAAGCCGTCGACAGATTCTTAAGCAACAACGTAGTCCGCGAACGCCATTTCGGTGACCGAAGAATGAAGGACTATGAGTCAACCCTCAAGTGTGTCTTTTGCTACGCAATTGGTAAGCATTACTCAGATGCTTGCCCCAGAGTTACTACCGTCGAGGAACGATTGAAGATTCTGGATTGTACCGGCGTATGCTCTATCTGCATAAGCAAACACGAGGAGAAACCGTGCCAGAAAACAGTCTGCTTCTACTGTAAGGGCGGCAGGATGGAATTGAGAAAGAAGGTGGATCATCACACAAGCGTCTGCAAGCGTCCAGAGAAGTTCGTCGAGGCTCAACAGAAGCGATGGAACACCAGGGCCAGCATCGATAAGTACCGTCGATTACTCGAGGAATGCGATGCACAGATTCAAGCAGCACGTCAAAAGCGCAATGGAGACGAAAGAGAACAGTGCGGAACTTTGGGATCGTTACAGATCCACCGTCCCATTTGAATAAGCCGGAGTATACTGAAGTAATTCAGTATTCTCTTGGATGCACTATGACCTTAACTCTTCATTGCAGGTTCTATGATCAGGAATTTCGTTATCTGATTGATTCTGGTATATTCTCAGAGTAATGGAATTATGTTTATGAATGCTGTACATATCGCTTGCTCTGTTTCTGTGCTTTACATTGAAATTGTTTCTTCGACGGCGCCTTATCTGATTGCTCCCAAGCTCAGCCTAATGCATTGTAATGGACGGCGCGCATATAAGCCGCTTGTGAGTTGCAGTTGACGCTCATCTTTTGTGGCTTGGGTTTTTTCTTTTCTTCTTTGTTTGTATAATGCTTTGTCACTTAGGTTAAAGCACAATAACTTAAATCCTACTTTCAGAGCACTATAATCGTAGCATCGTGGCACTATAAGATTATAGTTTCTTCTTTTATATATTCTCGGTGTGCACTATAAGATTATCGCGTCCCCTCGACACGACAAGACCGCGGACGACGTTATAGGCAGGTTCATCTTAGAAATCGTTTATTAATAGTTCAGTTATCTTCCTATTGGCCTAATTCGCTTCTACTTTTATTTAAATGTTATATATCGTTGATTATTATTATAAAAAGGTAGAATAAAGTTTAATTACCCAAGTTTGAGGTTGAATATCAACGGCGTTATACCCGCGTGGCATATTGATCGATTGGCTCGATTACTGATCTACCGAAGTTTATCATTGGATATTTGACTTCAGTCAGAACGACATACCATTTTGTATTCGAATACGTAGGAATTACGCAACCTCCAGGCAACATATCACAAGCGAGTGAAACAGGAAAATCTCCAAGAAGTGTTAAAAAATTCAAAACGTATAGGTGCACCAGTAATTTTGCCCCACCCTGTATACGAACCAGATAGGTCAAAATGATATCAACTGTAGCCCCGCTTAACCATATCATGGCGAATACTTTTTGAAGTTTCAATTGAATATAACTGCTGGTGATCTTTTGACAGCTTTCTTCAGACATCGATCCCTGCGTGCAGGACATCGTCTACAGTTTCATTTCACAATTGTTGGAACTCCGCTTCAGCGATAAGTCCGAACTGTATTGCATTGTGCAGTTCATCAGCTTCAATATCGACCACGTTGAACAACCCATTAGATTCAAATTGGGGGATTTGACTAATCAATGTTCGAAATTGAAGGAGGATTCCACGACAAGAGCGGGGGGGGGGGGGGGGGGGGGGGGGGGGGGGGGGGGGAGAGCGAAGGTCGATAGAGGGGGTAAATTGCTAGTGGGAGAGACAGCGGCGAACCTGCCTGATGGTGTGGAATAGACGCAATTAGCAGCGAAGGATGTGACGATCTATAGCATGGCTCACCCTAGGCGCAGCTGGGGTGGCACGCTCACCTAAATACGCGCCACAGGCCTTTTCGTGGCGAATGACTAGATGGCAGGGAGGCGTTAGAGTAGAAGAGGGCCCGATGAGACTCGCATCAATGCGGAATCAAGTGCAATAGGAGAAGAAAAGATGTCTTACTAGAAGGCATTTATTATAACAAAATAAATTGTGGTTCTCGTATAACTTCAGACGAACCACTCTATCCGTCAACCCCCAGAGGCTCATCAGTGAGTAGGGGTTGACGAAATGAAGGTTTTATGTGAGAAAGCAGTAAGAAAAACATTACATGAGCAAATGTAGTATATAAATATAAAACGAAAAAGAAAATTTTTTAGGTTATACGTTTGTACAAAGTGTCAGAATTAGAAACATGGCTTACCTATATATGATACGTGAATATTTTGAGGGATACTTCAGTGAAGTATTTGGCTGCCCAATGACCCAGAGCAGGTCCTGTGGAGGGGCTGAAGGATTATGCATTAAATTGTATGTAAGTGAATAGATATTCACACCATGTTAAATGATTGATCAACTAAATACTTAATTTTTTTGAAATTATTTTTCTAGACCATATTTATAACAAATGAATTTATTTTTATAAATACACTTGATTATGCTGGAAACTACAAAACAGTGATCATATTGATTATACAAGGATAACTGTTCATTTCTTTCATTTTATTTACAAATGAATTGAATGCCGTACAAGTGTTAGCTATCCTAAGCGTTTCCGTGTAAATAACCGCTGCCTTTATGGTATTAGAAATGTTTGTAGTGCTATGTGGAAATCGTGATACCTTGAAACAGAAGTCATCCGTTTTATTATATAGTTCTGTACGTATCCTATCATTTTCAACAGTAATACTAAGATCTAAGTAATTGCTTGAATTACTATTATTATGAGTCTTTTTAAATTCAAGTTCATTATGGTAAACAGTATTTAGTTGTGTATCTATATAAGTACCACTTTTCTTATGGATTACCAATAGATCATCCCATATTCTGTAAGGGAATAATAAATATGCTCTTCAACTTGTACTTTTAGCGTAGTTTATGTTTCCTGGAAAGTGTGAGGTCAGCTAAAAGTGGACTAAAATTTCCTCCTTGTGGAACTCCTTTATTTTGTTTGAATATATGTTCACAAAAGATACAGTAGCTATTAGATAACAAGTATTCTGTATAGTAGAGCAGGTCTGTAATTCTATAATACCTGTAACTATGTTTATGGATTCTCCTTGTATAAAAACATGATACCCTTAGTAAGCTACTACCGAATATTACTGTTTAAACAATATAAGTAGCTCTTTAATATTTATAAATGGAATATTGTTGAGCTTAGTAGACATATACCGTAAAATCAGCAGTGTATATTTGAGGTCCACTGTATACAGGTCAATTATAGATTCGTACCAATGTTGATATTATATAGACGACGATATGTTTTACATGTTCTATTTCATTGTATAACTTTCACAGGTGGTTTGCAATTGTTTTTTTATATGGTTAGAATTTATAGTGTGCAGTTCTTTAGCTAATGGTTTAACACTGCTATTATGCGCACCAGTTATGAATCTGAACTTAATTGGATTTTTATGTAACTTAGGCAATGAATAAATTATAGGGAAGGTCGGCGTTTATGATGGTACCCATCCCGTTTCGTAACAAAAGGATGAGTGGAAACTTATTGAGTATTTGTTAACAATTAGGCACCAATTTGTATGTATTATTAGTATTCCCATATTTATAACACTTTCTATTAGGATCATAACTAACTCCCATTTCTTCCATAATTGTTAGAAGATAGAACTTTTTACAAATTATGCCATAATTGTTGCTAGCTTTGTCAAGCGGACAAAAAACAAAATTATCTTGAAATTTTGTTAATCAAGTCTTGAGATATTACTACTCCGTTTCCTTTGATGTTATCATATGTTAGAAGCGGTTTAATTCTATTATGGTAACTGGCAAATAGATACTGTTTGATTAAACTAATTTTAAGTGCATTTATTTTATATCTGCTTTTGAAGTATTCAATAGATTTATTAACTATGTCACAATAAATCCTATTTATTAATCATTCTTGTATTCGTATTATCGGCACATTATATATGTCCCTGTTTTTAGTAACTTTAGTTCACATTCTTGATGATATTGTAAGTCACTGTTATTACTGGCATATTTCATTAGTACAGTTAATGCGTCAAAATCACCTGATTCGCATATACACCTAGAGCTGATTATGTTTTCCAATTTTTCATTAGTAAGGTGTTTAAGAAGAGAATTGTAGTTATAAATTTTACTAGATACTGCTTTATTATATTTGTAAACAATTCTGATAGGCGTGTATTGTTTAGCGTTATATAGTTATTATCAAATATGATTCTTTTTACTGTGAAGGAGTTAAGTACCTGGTAAATGGTATACAATGAAAAGTTTAATATCCCAACAGTGATTATTATGATAATTTTATTCTTTTTTGATCTCTGTGTTTCCACTATGAAAATGTGCTAATAAGCAGAATACCATAAACTTAGTTTTTTTATTAACAACTTGTAAAAAAGTCAGGATTAAGCGAAAGTTTTATGATTTTATCCAATTCTGTTTTGCGTAATTCTTTTAAACAGTCTATAATATTCTATATGAGTAAGTGTATCTTCTTTATTTATAATCTTCATCCATAACTTGCGAGTAGTCCTTATTTTTCTTCTTGTTATGTTTTTTATTTTTACCTCTATTATTTCTATTTTTACAATCTGTAGTGAAAAATAGGGAGTATTATTTTTAATATATTAGATGTGTTCTATTAGAGAGATATTCCAGCAATCCGTTTTATTTTCATTAACACGTTGACGACAACGCGAGTTTTGGCACTTTTGGCCACGTGGGACCACGGCGTTTTTGCGAGCGCCGCCGCCTCAGGTTGTTCAAGCAAATTTTGAGTGATAAAAACATAAATAATGATCAATACAAGGCCAGATCAATATATTGTAATGAGCACAACCTACTCGGAGGTACAGTAGCGGAATTTCTATTGAAAGACATGGAATAACAATGAAAAAGTGATATTCTTTAGAACAAGCTGCAATAAACTTCAAAGGCAATTTTGAGTTGATTATTTTAATCAAAACACATATATTGTCATCTCTAAGGTACCGTATCTACTTCTACTACTATTTAAACCTTCACATTCATAGGAAGAAAAAGTAAACGAAAAATTTATTAGGCTGAAGATTTCGTATGGTTCAGAAATCCTCCTCTAAATTGAAGCATACGTGACCATTCTATGGACCACTATGTTTTTAGCTAGGTCAAGGTCTCCTCCATTCAATAATTACAAGAAACTTCTAGAAGAACCAGGCGTGCGCGAAAAAAATTAGTGTAATGGGTCGACACGGCCTGCAATGCGCGGGATATATATCCCCCGCGTTGTCTCATGTGTGAAGTTCAAAGGGATATGCTGTGTTTAATAATTTTATCCAAAAAAGTTCCTTTTCGATTAAAGTATTTTTGTCGTTTGTGGTTATAGAGTCCAAGACTGTAACTTTTGTTGTAAACAAGTTATAAAAGGATCATATATGGACAGTGTGAATTTATGGTTACATGTTGTTAAGGTGTTCAATGAAATTCTGTTTTGAGCTTTTGTCGTAATAACTTCGTATAGCATACATTATACGAAGTTACCTGTATCACCTGTCGTCCCGTTGATCATCGAATTGCTCGAGCGGGCGCCAGCA